CAGCTGCTGAGGACAGTGCCAGTGGTGAGCAAACACTTCTCAGGCAATGAAATAATCAGATCTCCTGCCTTTGAGAAAGGAGGGAAAAAATTAAACACAAAAACGGTAAAAATCAAGTGTAAAGACTCATTTAATTACTGTGGGGACTGGTGGTTTCACATTATGGCTGCAACAGTCTAAAAGTCAGAAATTACAATCACAACAGATTTCTGAGCTTTGCTTGTTGCAAAAATCATTACATGTCAAAAAAACCTGAAGAGCTGCATCAGAAATTCAGAAATTAGAAAATATCACTCACCTGAAGTGCTTTTGTTGTCATCAATCCTCTTCCTGTCTCTGAAGAAGGAACAAAGAGCAGGAGTAAAATAAATGTAGATATGGAAAATCAGTGATCTGTGATCAGCTCAGCAAGGAAAAGCTCTAAAAGAACAGGCATTATGTCTTACAAAACATAAATCCAGTTATGGACTATTCCAGATTTACCTCATTTCTTTGTTCGCCAATTCTCTTTATTTTTCAGGATCTTTTCCCTGCATATCCTACAGCATTTGCTGTCCAGTTCTAGCAACTGTTCAGCTTTTTTTCCTCCCACTTATAGCAATTATTCACCTTCTTTTTCTCCATTTTTTCCTCAAACACATCTTGCATCACCAGCTGCAGCTCTTGGTTTCAGAGTTTTAACTAAACTTTAGCATTTCTAGTCAAAATATTTTTCTCTGATCCATTCTATTATTTCTGCTCTGTCTATACTACTACAAAATGTTTAAAATATACAGAAAGATTTAAAAGTTTAAGTATAAATCTTTACTGTAAAGACTGCTAAGTGAACCTCAGCTCTCTGCTAAACTTGCTTGGGGATAAAAAGATAAACAAGTTATAACGAGGTTAAATTCCAAAAACTGTGTTATTAACACTTCAAATTTTGGCTTTTTCAGGCCTCCATATCTATTGTTTCATATTAAATTGAGATTCCAAGAATCCTTGGAAGAGTATCAGTAACTGTTTTTTTTTCCTGATGCCAGACAGGGGCATAATTTAAAAGGAATTGCAAGAATCTAAAATTCTTAGAAAATAATTTAATAAATAATTAAAGCATTACCCCAGAACTCTGCTGGCCTTAAATTACTGTCTTCAAAGCCTCTCTCTTTTAGCCACTTCTTAAGTTTAATGTATTCCAGCTTGTGACTGCAGTTGACTAAAAACAGAAAAAAACATTAATGCTATTAAAGAGCATTCTGTTGGACAACACAGGAAATATAAATATTTTACTGTACAGACAGGAAAACTGTATTTTGGACATTTTAAAACATAACAGGATAGCAAGAAGGAATTGAACTAAATATATTTGGGGTCTCTGGTCACTGGGAGGTCTCAGAAATGTGCGAGTTATTCAGCATGTCCAAGGAACTTTAGAATAATGTAATATTTGCCATTAGCCATAAAAGTGAGCTCATAAAATTCACTGTGCTCTGCTTGGGACTGTAAACTAACACTCAAGATATCTGCCTATAAAAAAAGATAACATTCATTAATGTAATTTTCCAAGCACAAAGGCTTTTGAAAACATAAATAATAAAATGACACCTTGAGGAACAACTGGTTATTTTATTATTTAACTTCCAGGCATGATGATACCTCCATCCATAAAACTCTTCAAGTGTTTTCTTCTTCTCTTTCGACCCGTCCGACCTCTGCTCTTCTTCATATTAAGCAACAGATTTTGCCATTTTTAGACAACCTGAATTTAAAATAAAATTTAAAATAACTGATTTAGAAACATTTAAAGTCCAATTTATTACTGTGAGCATGGGCAGGCCCTGGCACAGCTAGGGCTGCCCCTGGATCCCTGGCAGTGCCCAGGGCCAGGTTGGACACTGGGGCTTGGAACAGCCTGGGACAGTGGGAGGTGTCCCTGCCCATGGGATGGGATGATATTTCATAGATTTATGGAATATCCTGAGTTGGGAAAGATCCACAGGGATAATCCAGTGCCACCCCTGCCCTGCCCAGACCCCCAAAATCCCACCCTGGGCATCCCTGGCAGCGCTGCCCAAAGGCTCCTGCAGCTCTGGCAGCCTCGGGGCTGTGCCCATTGCCAGGGCAGCCTGGGCAGTGCCAGGACCTCTGGGGAAGAATCTTTCCCTGATCTCCTTCCTTTTGCCAAAATTGCCCCGAAATTAAGCTCAAAGCGCAGCTTGTCCCTGCCAGGAGGGAGGGCCTCAGGGAGAGCCGGGAACCCCACAGGCGCTCGGGCTCCTCCAGAGGCCGGCCCTCCATCCCACCCTATTTGAGTTGAAAAGGCCTCAGAGACCACCGAGTCCAAATCCCATCCCCGATCATCCCATCCCAGAACTGGGAATCCTGCGCTAACCCCCGTTCCCCGCTCGGCACAAACCCCCGGGACAGGAGGGACTGAAGCGGCCCCGGCAGCGCTGCGAGGGCGGGAACGTCCTGAGGGACCGCCCGTGCCCCGCGCACTCCGCTGGAAACCACCACCGCATCCTCCCCTGCCGGCCCAGACTGTGATTCCCGAGCCTCTCCCGGGCTGGAATTGCCGCTCAGAGTCCCAAACCCACCTGCTGAGGGGATACAAGGACCGACATTCCCTCGCCGTCCCTCTCCCCGCCCCTGAGGCGGGGCTGCCCCGCCATCTTAGGGGCGTCCCCGTCTCCCTTCCCCGCGGGTTGCGGGTGGCTGTGCTTGGTGTATAACGCGTTCTGTCCTCGCTGTGCGGAGCTGAGGGACGAGGGAGAGGTGCCCGCCGTGCTGGAGGTGGGTGATGAGTGCTGGGTGTCCCCCAGGACCCTTCACCCCGAGGGTGTCGGGGTTCATGGCGGTTCCCTCCCGTGAGGGGACGGGAGGAGCGGGAGAGGGCGAGACTGGCGGTGAGGTGGGAAAGGCGCTCCCGACCCTGGGACGTCGCGCTGGAGATTCTTGCAGTGGAGTAATGCCAAGAGGGGGGCAAACTCAGCGTTTAAACTTCCTTTTATGAGGGAAACGCAGCTTCTTTGAATGCACTGTATCGGTTAGAAAAGCAGCAAGCAGGTTTTCGCATGGTGTGTTACACAACCAGCCGTTGTAGGCAGCGTGTTCTGTGCTGTTTTCCCCCGAAAAGGCTGTAATTGCTCCTTCTGCCTGGCCCTGGAAGATAGAGCTACCCCATCCTTTTTTATATATTGTTTGGGATCTTAAAGATCATCCACTTGCGACCTTTGCCATGGACAGGGATACCTTGCACTAAACCAGGTTGCTCAGGTTTTGAGCCTGAAGTTCTCAGCAAAACTCGAGCTGAGCTAGTTGAATATTCCCAAAAGATGGAAAGCCTTCCTGTGAGCTGTTAGTGCAGAAGAGCTTACTCCTACAAAAAGTTAATTTAGTACTAAAGATTAGTCACTGGCATTTTTTAGTTGAGACATTTCTTTCTTCTTTTTACCCATCACGGGTTGGCCTTTCTTCAGAACACATGAATACCTCGTGTTGCCTTAGGAATTTACACGGCTTGCACAGGAATGTAGATTCACATAATCCCAGGTGGAATTTTAAATAGTATTTTAAAGAAAAAAACACTTGTCCGGGGAGGCTCCACACTGCTGGAAATATTTAAAGCCAGGTTGGATAAGGCTTGGAGCTATTGGGATAGTGGAAGGTATCCATGGCAACGAGATGATCTTTAAAGACCCTTCCAACCCAAACCATCCCACAAGTCTAATTCCTTTCCAAACAGCCATTTTAGCTGTCTGAGTGAACTTTTCTTTGCTGCTGACAGTTCTTACATTCCGAGGAGACAATGTCCAGTGTGCAGGTGGCTGTGGTGACAGGCTCCAACAAAGGGATTGGCTTGGCCATCGTGCGGTCCCTGTGCAAGCAGTTCCCAGGGGATGTGTACCTGACCTCCCGGGATCCCGGCCGTGGCCAGGCTGCCGTGGCACAGCTCCAGCAGGAAGGGCTGCGCCCACTCTTCCACCAGCTGGACATCGATGACCTGCAGAGCATCCGAGCGCTCCGGGACTTCCTGAAGGAGAAGTATGGAGGGATCAACGTGCTGGTGAACAACGCTGGTATTGCTTTCAAAGGTAGGAAGTGCTCTGCTGGGGTAGTCCTGTGTTCTGATTTCCTTATCTCTCTAAGCTTTCAGAGAAAGGTAACACACCCGAGATAGCTCAGCTACCTCAGATGGTTTAAGATTAGCAGGATGGCTTCTGAGACAGTGTTGGAAACAGAAAAGATTTATTAAAAGGCAAAATAACAAAGCTCTTTGCAGAGAAAACCCAAGCCAGGGCAAGAGGTTCTTGCTGCTGATAAAACACTTCACAAAAGAGATTGCTTTCCTTTGTTCTCTTCTTTTTCTAGTGAATTACCTAGGTGGCACCTTTTGGCTTCTGTCCAGTTGGGTATCCTTAGGTTTGAGGTGAAGTCCCCAAGGTCCTATGAGGTGTCATTTAACCAACTTGAGGAGAGAAACTTCTGGGCTTTTTTCCTTTTTAAGGAGACAAAAGATAATTCAGTCACTCTGTCAACAGGAGGCACATTCCTGCAGATGCATCAACACTTCTGTGCCACTGCCATGCTGCTTTTTTGCTTGGGCAAACTTCCCATCTTAAGGGTGATGTGAGAACAGTGTGCCAGGGGAGGGCTAGCTTGGACAGCAGCAGGAATTTCCCCGTGGAAAGGGTGCTCAGGCTGCCCAGGGAGCTTTGGAGTGCCCATCCCTGCAGGTGTCCCCTGGAGGTGGCACTGAGTGCTCTGGGCTGGGGACAAGGTGGGCATGGGGCCCAGCTGGGACTCCCTGGGCTGGGAGAACTTTTCCAGCTGTAGCAATTCCATGATTCTGTGAACATGCTTCCCTGGAGTGTTGTGTTTGCACCACGTGGAAATGTTGAGGCACACGGGTAGGTGGGCTGGGTTGGGTTAAGTGCCTCAGTGCCCAGGAGTTCCAGCAGGGCCATGGGAGCCCATCTCCCTTGGGAATGTCTCCCTGTGCCTCAGGGAGCTGCATTTTCTCTGTTCTCCACCCCCATGCTCTGGTCTGTGCATTATCTGCTCAGGGATTCCAGCTGATGAAAAAGCACCTTTATTGTCCCTGGCTGGGCTTTGCTATCCCGAGCTTTTTCAGGCCATTCAGTCACCTCTAAACTACTCAAATCCTGCTGTGCTGAGCAAGAATTTAACCCTTTCTCCTCCCAGTGGGCAGAAAGGCAGGGAAAGTGAGAAAGACACAGCAGTTTCAAGGTGGAAGGATGCATTTTTGTTGTGTGTATGAAATCCAGATCAGAATTTGCTCCAGACAGATTGTGGCTGATGGTTTTAGGGGGGAAATTGTGTCCCTGTACTCCCTCAGGTGAGATCCCACCTGCAGAGCTGCCCCAGCCCTGTCCCAGCCCGGGAGGAGCTGGAGCTGCTGCAGAGAGCCCAGAGGAGGCTCCAGGATGAGCAGAGGGATGGAGCAGCTCTGCTGGCAGGAAAGGCTGGCACAGCTGGGATTGTTCACCTGCACAGGAGAAGCTTTGGGGTGGCCTAATTGGGGCATTCCATGAGGGAATGGCTTCACACTGTAAGAGAGTAGGGAACTTCTCATGGAGTGGGAGTGCAGTGATGGTCTTCTGACTCTTACCTGTTACTTTATAGGAAAATTGCTTAAGATCAGCTTATTGGGAGGCAGCTCCTAATAGATTCGTCTGAGCTCCAGGGTGTGCTCAGGAAAGATTCCAGCAACAGTTAAAATATCACTTCCAGATGTTTAGCCTTGACTTTCCTCAAGCTGGCAACAACTGAGTCAGCCATCACACAATTTAGGATGTGATAAAGGAACTGTTGCTGTGAGTATCAAGCACAGAGGGTGTAATAGCTGTGTAAGAACTTATTGTCATGCTTCTCTCATAGTTTTAATTTTTGCTTCCCAGGTTGGTATTTCTACCCAAGCTTGTTTCTTTCCTCACCAAGTTTTTGCCGTCATCCCAGAATTTATGCTCTCCTTTCTTAGTTGCAGCATTATGTGCTATTGCATCTGTCAAAGATTAGATATGCCATTAAGTTTTATTATTTTGGTTTTGTGCTGCGTTTGCCCAGCAAAATCCTTAATGTGGGAAAAACTTCCTGTATCAAATGGTTGTGGAGCTGTGGTTGTCTTCCGGATGAGCCTCTCTGGGAAGAGTTGTCTAATAAAGCTTCTTTAACCAGGGGAGCTCTGGATGTTACCACACACCCTGTTAGACACATGAGTGGGGTTTGGGGTGTAAGGAGATACTCTCTCATAAGAAAGGAAAGATATGGAAGCAGGATTTGGGGTTCTGCAGGATTTTAGTTCTCTCTCTGCCATAATCCTGGCCATGGGTTGTGCTCTGCCGTCGTGTGTGAGATTTAAATGCGAGTGATTTACAAATGAATGTGGGTGATTAAACATGTTTTGCAATAAAAACCACATCAAATAACGACCTGTTAAAATTTCTCTTTTGAATTACCATGGATTTAGAGACAATGAACTGCCTAGTCTGCGATCATATGCCTGTTTTCTAATTATTAAAAACAGCAACTAAAATAAACTTTTGGGGTTTGGTAACTTCTACTCAAGCAGTGTTACAATTCTAATTTTTGGTCCTTTTTCCCCACTTCCTTCCTACCTCTTATGACCAGTCCATGACACCACTCCATTTGCAGTCCAAGCTGAGGTTACCCTGAAGACAAACTTCTTTGGAACCAGGAATGTTTGCACAGAATTGCTGCCTCTCATGAAGCCTTATGGTAAGTGAAACGTAATAAGAGGAGAAAGAGTTTTGTTTAAATTTTGGCCCTTTTCAATGGGAAATCCTGTCCAGTCTCAGGCACTGCACCAGTGTTTCAGATGTGGTGCTGTGATGTGTTTGCTGCTATAAATGAAATGTAGTCTCTCCTAATATTTAAATACATTGAGGTTTTCAAGGGGAAAAAAAAAGAAATCAACTAGATGAAAAGCAGGTTTTTATTTCCTGAGGGAGAAGGAATAAATGGAGTGTGTGAATTTTGGGGAGAGGGGAAACAGTGCCAAAGTTGCAGTTTAGTCCTCTTGTACTACAGTGTAGGATGGCTGTTAATATTCTGTGGCTTTTAAGATTAAATCCCCAATTTCACCACCAGACTGACTGTGAAGTAGCAGGAAAAAGGGGAAACAGTGCAACATAATTTTGGAGATGAGTGATTTACTGATTCAGCTGACTTGTTCCTCTTACTGAAGTGCTGGGAGATAAATCCTTAAATTTGTAAATCTCCAGGTATTGTTTCTACTGTAGTAAGAGTGTACCTGCTGATTGTGAAGTCCTTTCCTGGATGTTTATCTGACTTGCAGGTTCACACCTTAAATTACCTTTCATGGTACTTACTAGAAATCAGAACATTGAGTTAATCTGATTTTCCAGGACCTCTGCAAAACAACCCGCCTAAAATATTGTACAGATATTTACCTGAGGAGCAAATTCAGAACTGGAGAGCAGCCCCACTTCAGTGTGAGCTTAAAATGGGTGAAAATAATCAGTTTTTATTCTCTTTTCAGGTCGGGTGGTGAACGTCTCCAGCATGGTGAGTTGCTCAGCCCTGAGAGGCTGCAGCCAGGAGCTGCAGCAGAAATTCCGCAGTGACACCATCACTGAGGATGAGCTGGTGCAGCTCATGGCCAAATTCGTGGAAGACACCAAGA